GCCCCAGCACCTCCCCTCTCACTTCCCGGGGCCTGTCCCCTCTCTAGCCTCCAAGACCTGAGGGACTAGCCTGATACCCTATTACCCTCATAGGAACACCTATCCTTACCCCCAAAGGGTTGACCTTAGAGGGGGCATGTGAAAAACGTGTGGGCTCAGGAGCTGGAGTGCCTCGATTTGGAGACCTGGCTCCCCACTTTGTGGTGTGTAACCATGGAAGTGTCACATCACCTCTCGGAGCGTCCGTTTTCTCCTCTGCAGAATGCAATCATTCCTACCCCACTGGGTTGGCATAAAAGTAAGCGAGACTATAAATGTGACAGGTGTGGCGATGCATTCACACAGTAGGTTTTTATAATAACAGCTCTTGGAGCCTGAACAGGTATGTATGTAATCCTCTCAACAGCCAGATCCCCTTTCACCAAAGGGGAAATTGAGGCTCAGAGAGGTTCCGAGCATTACCCATGGATAGCCATTTAGAAAGTAATCAGTTTGATCCCAGCTTGGCTCAACTGTAGGGCCTGGGCGTCCCCAGCTCCCTGGGCTGCCCTGGCAGGCCATTGTCTGTGGGCAGTGGGCCCTGGGCCGCGGGCCCTTGTTCAGTCTATCTCTGCCTGCGACCCTCCCACAGCGTCAAGAGCAGCCTGCAGAAGACTCTGCTGGGAAGGGAGACCGTGAACCTCTCGGGGATCCCCCTGTCCGTGCGGGATGTGCAGCACATCACGCACTACCTGGGCAGCCAGGGTGCTGGGCTCACGGTGCTGGACCTGAGCTTCACGGGGCTGAGCGATGAGCTGCTGCACCTGCTGCTGCCGGGCCTCTGGACGCTGCCCTGCCTCTCCCAGCTCCTGCTCAACGGCAACCGACTGACCCGGGCCGCCGCCCGCGAGCTCACGGAGGCCATCAAGGACACCACCAAGTTCCCTGCACTGGCCTGGGTGGACCTGGGCAACAACGTAGATGTGGCCTCCCTGCCCCAGCCCCTGCTGGTTGGCCTGCGCCGGCGGCTGAGCCAGCGCACCTCACTCCCCACTATCTATGAGGGCCTGGACCTCGAGCCTGAGGGCAGTGTGGCCCATGCCACCACTGCTGCCTCCACTTGGGGCTCTGCAGCTACCAAGCCGGGGTCTGAGCCCCAGGCCTGCTGCACCAGGTGACCCACCGCCCACCCTGGCTCCCGCCACCTAACTGACAATGCCTCCAGCCACATGGAATGGGGTGATGGAGGCCCCAGAGGCCACCCAGGCCCCCAGAGATCCAGTGCACCTGCTCCGCCTGGGATTAAAGGAATGGAAGGATAATGGACTAATCAGAGGCTGGATGATGAGCCCAGGCTGGGATCGCAGCCTCCTCTCAGCAGGAGGGGCTCAGCACCTGCTGTGCAGACCTCACAATAAAGGGTGATACCCCCTCTGCTTCAGCCTTTCTGCATCATGGACAGTGAGCACCAGCCCTGCTGCTGGGGTGAGGTGAAGGGGCAGTGGTGGTGGGGGGTGGGGGGACCAAGGCTCAGGGACCCTGCCCACCTGAAAGGGAGGGACCAAGCTCTCACTGACCTCCCTCCAGGTGCTCCCTGGGCAAGGCCCACACAGAGACCAAGGTGTGGGGGTCAGGTCCATCTGTGGGCTAGGGATTTAGAGGAGGCCTCCAAGGACCTGGCTCTCACATCTGGGCAGGGCTGGGGAGGGGCAAATTGGGAGCCCAGAGAGGGGCAAAGCTTGGAACGGAGCCCAGCGCTAGCTTATGCGTGAGCCCAGGCTGCTCACAAGGGGCCCTTAGGCTGGGCACAAGAGTGATGACAGGAGGCAAGGCTTGTTTCCTACAGGGCACAGCACTGCCCACTACCCCTGGTACCCACTCCCCAAGCCTCCTGTACTTGGTGAGCGAGCAACTCTGCAGGGTTAGGAGACACATTAGACCAGAGATGGAGAGCTTGTGTGTTCCCTCTAGGCCTCCGGGGCCTGCATGCACAGTCCTCCCCGTAGGGGATCCAAAGACAGCATGTAGCGGGTGGCAGTGGGTGCAGCCAATAGCAGGGATCTCTGGGACCAAGCAGTCCTAAGGCTGCCCAGGAGGTGGCCTGCTCCCAGCAGAGGGCCGTCTCCCCTTCTCACAAGCACCATCAGGGCAGGCTCCTGACCAGAAGCCTAACGCCATGGTCATCCTCACAGCCCTGTGGGGACAGCTGGAGTTCAGCCCAACTAGGTGTCAGGCACAGAAGAGGCAAAAAAGGAATTTAGAGATGTCCAGGGGGAAACTGAGTCCCAGAGCAGGGAAGCCAGTAGCCTATGGCTCCTGTGCAGACCCAGAAGGTCAGGTCTGGGGGCAATGGGACCCTGCTGGATAGGAGACACCTGGTGGCAGAGGGAAGCCTCGTGGGCCAAGGAGAAGGCAGGGGGCTTCCTGAGCCCGTGTTCCCCAGCCCACCAGCTCTGAACTTCCCCATTGTTCTGGCCATGAGACTGTGAGTTGGCGTGGACTACAGCCCATCCCCAGGTCGGCTGGTTGCCTAGCAGCCTCGTGGGCCAGAGGGAGGTGGCCAAGGTAAGGATGGGATGGTGTTGGTCCTAGGACTAGGCAGGAGGCAGTGAGGAAAAGGAGCTCCCCCTTCTATGCTGCATATCCTCCCCAGAGTCAGGCCCACTGGTCTTGCACTTTTGCTGGAACCCTGATCCGGAGTTGGTGAGAAAGGTGTGAAGAGCATCCTGTTAGCCCAGCTCTGTTCCTGACTTGAGTGTGACCTGACCAGGCCTACCCTTCTCAGGGCCTCGGGTCTCTCCCTCCTCCCTGGAGCTCTGGCTCCTCCCAGGCCTCCTTGCCTCATGGCTGGGGAGCTACAGAAGCATCTCCCTGTGCCCCTACCCTAGAAAGCGGGGGGGGGGGGGCTCGTCTGAGTGAGGCAAAGCACGGTGGGAGGTGGAAGGGGCCAGTGGAGAGGAAAACAACGGGGAAGCCGTGGCCGGGTAGGTTGATAAGCCTGCTGTCTCCTGTGACTCCTTGCTGGAAACATGTCAAGCTCCCTCCTGCCCTCTGGCCCTCCAGCCCTCTTCGCTTTCTGCCCGCCATTGGCCCGCATCCAGCCCACAAACCTTGAATGTTACCGCTCAGAGAGATTCCTACCAGGATGGTGAGAGGACCTGAGCTGGGTGTTGCCAGGCGAGCTCTGGGAGAATCCAGGCGGCGGCAGCTAGTCTTAATCTCCCCGCCTCTTGGACAGAGGCACTAGATGTAACAGCCGAGCTGGAGCATAAAACAGCTCAAGAGAAGAGGGCTGGCCTTGTTGCCATGCAGGTGTCCCTTCACGGGGCTCTCACATCGGGGCCTCAAGACCACCAGCGAGGCTACTCTACAGGCTGGGACACTCCAGGAAGCAGGGCTTGTGACTCATTGAGCCTGCCTGGCGGGCAGAGAGTGCCCACCAGGCCAGCTCCAGCCCAAGTTCCAGATGGGGGAGGTGGCAGGTGGGGGCCTCACTCAGGACAGTCCTCACCCAGTCCCAGTCTTGGAGGCAGACAGGCCCCGTCACCCGCTGACAGTGTGGTTCTCACAAGGCCTGTTCCCTCTTGGGAACTAGGTACACCAAGCCTCCCCTCATCCTGTTGGAGTGAGGATGACATAAGGTTTGGAAAGTGCCTGCCGTGCGGGGGGCACAGGGCAGGCGCTAGTCAGCATCAGCAGGGCCTCCACCCAGGGCTCTCTGGAGGGGAATGGCAGGAGGCCAAATCTTTGGGACTGGGTGGGCCTGAAGCCATTTATTTATTTAACGAGCACTTCTATAGCCTTCTCTGGGCCAGGTCCTGTTCCAATGGCTTTACACTCCTTTAATTCTCTTTGCACCTGAAAGAGGTGGGTGCTATTACCACCTTCGTTTTGTAGGTGAGTGAACTGAAACAGGGAGAGGTTAAATGACTCGTCCAAGGTCAAAGTCTCGGAACTAAAGGAGCTGGGATGTGAGCCAGCCTGCCTGGCTTCAGTCTGCAATGCTAATCCTGTGTGATGCTGCCTTTCCCACAGCCATCCCGGGGACCCAGGATTTACTGGAACTCCTGAGCAAGCCCCTTCCCAACTGGCCACTCGAGGCAGGAGACCACCATGGTGGTGTCCTGTGGCAGGCAGAAACAGATCTCCAGCTGTGCTGCCCCAGGAGCAAGACCAGGCAGGACCTCCGTGGGCCTCAGTTTCCTCGTGTGCTAAATGGGTGGGGAAGGGAGCAGTGAGGACCTGGGCTCTGCCCTCTTCCAGGATTGAAAGGGACTAAGTAGGAGTTGGTATTTTTCAGACTGCACAAAGACCAGCCTTGTACTCTGGGGTCGCGGATTCATGCCTACTTCTAGCAGTCCGGTTGGGACAGCTATAGGTGCCTTCACCTCTCGGGGCCTCAGCCTCCTCAGTCCTAAACCTGCTTTGCCAAGATGTTGAGATCATCTTGGGGCCTCAGCCTCCTCAGTCCTAAACCTGCTTTGCCAAGATGTTGAGATCATCATCTAAAGGGAATATGCAGAAAAGATACCTGTGCTCCACTGTGTACTGAAATACATTGAAGTGGACATACCAAGTGCAAGTGTTAAGTGTGCAATACAACACATTTTGACTTGTGTACATATCCATGAAAGCACCACCACAACCTAGACAACAAATGTATTTGTCACACCCAAACATGTCCTGTGTCCCTTGGTACGGCCTCCCTCCCTCCTCTCACCACCCATCCCCATCCACAAGAAACCATTGATCTGCTTTCTGTCCCTAGAGATCAGTTTATATTTTCTAGAGTTTTAGATATATGGAATCATACAGGTGCACTCTTTTTTTTTCCATATTTCTGTCACTCAGCATAACTACTTTGAGACTCCCGCAGTGTTGTTGCATGTATCAATAGTTCCTTTTTATAGTTGAGTAGTGTTTGATTGGATGGACGCACCACAATTTATCCATTCACCTGTTGATGGATATTTGTTTAGAATTTTTAGCTATTATAAATAAAGCTGCTATGAATATTCATTTTTGCAGGAACATATAATTCCTTTTCTCTTGGGTAGTGGTATCACAATAGTTTTTCTTTTGTTGTACTATCTTTGCCTGGTTTGGGTATCAGGGTGATGCTGGTCTCAAAGAATGAGTTGAGAAGTATTCCCCTCACTTCAATTTTTTTGGGAAGAGTTGGTATTATTTCTTCCTTACATATTTGGTAGAATTCCTCAGTGAAGAGACATGGGCTTGAAGTCTTCTTTGTGGGAAGATTTTCAACTACAATTCCAATTTCTTTCATAGATATAGAACTATTCAGGTTACCTATTCCTTCTTGAATGAGCATTGGTATTTTGGATCTTTTAATAAATTTGTCCATTTCATCTAAGTTGTTGAATTTGTTGGCATCAAGTTGTTCATAATGTTCCCTTTCAATACCTGTGGAATCTGTAGTAATCACCTCTCTCATTCCTGAGACTAGTAATTGTGTGTCTTTTTTTTTCTCTTTCCTGGTCAGTCTGGCTGGAGGTTTATCAATTTTATTGATTTTGTTAAAGAATCATCTTTTGGTTTCACTGATTTTTCCTTATTGTTCTTTTCTATTTCATTGATATCCACTTTGATCCTTATTTCCTTTCTTCTTCTTCCTTCAGATTTCATTGGCTCTTCTTTTTCTAGATTCCTAAATGAGCCTTCTTGTCTGATATAAATATAGCTGAGACATTTATCTGTGATCATTTTTTTCCTATCATATATGTATGTTTAGTGCTATAAATTACCCCCCCCCCCAAATTCTGCTTTAGTGGCACCCCACAAATTCTGAAATGTTGTGTTTCCATTTTTAAGCTGGTTCAAAAACTTTCTACTTTTTCTTTTTGTTTCTTCTTTGATCCATGGGTTATTCAGAAGTGTGTTATTTTGTTTCCAAATATGTAGAGATTTTTTTTTCCCCCAAGGATTTTTCTGTTAATGATTTCTAATTTAATTTCACTGACGTCAGACAACATAATTAATATGGCTTGAAGCCAATTTTGAATGTTGGTAAATGTTGTGTGCACTTGAGAAGAATGTGTATCCTGTTATTGTTGGGCAGTCCTATGAGTGTTAATAAAAAATTGATTTATGGTGTTGTTCAAGTCTTGCTGATTTTCTGCCTACTTGCTCTATCAATTATTGGAAGAGGAACCAAAATCTCTTACTATAATTGTATTTACCTATTTCTTGTTGCAGTTCTACCTGTTTTTGGCTTCATGTGTTTTGAAGCTTTATTATTAGGTGCATAAATGTTTAAGATTGTTACGGCTCCTTGATTAACTGACCCTATCACCAGTATGAAATCGCCTTCATTTCCCTGACAATATTCCTTGCTCTGACACCGACTTGTCTGATATTAATATAACTGTTCCAGCTTTCTTTTGACTAGCGCTAGCAATGGTATTATCTTTTGCCATCCTTTT